CGACCAATTTTACTATATGTTTCTTATCTTCTAACCTTAAATATATCAATAACCCTAACTTTAACGAATTTTAAGATATTTTGTTGTTTTCATATGACCTGAAAAATTCTTGGTCGCCCTCGTGGATTCTAACATCGAGAGATTCGCCTTCCTGAGATAATATCTCCACATCTCTATTGGCAATATCTTGTATCAAACCGCTCGACCCTTCATCATTTTCAATATTCTGCTCTTCATTGGTATCATCTCTATTTGTATTATTCCCCTCTAAATTTTTTTTTTTAAATCTTTTGGTTTCTTTATATTTTTATATTGCTTTCTCAACTCGATTTCTTCTTTAAATTGTGAACAATCTCTTTTCAAGTACCCAGATTGATCACAGTAGAAGCATAGTCTAGGAGCCGCTCTCCACTCTGTTGTAACTTTTGGCCCCATATACTCGTGTAGTTTTGTATAAGATTATCCATTGGTCTATACAGACCAGAGTATCTTCATAGACCAACGGCTTAATAGATCCAAAGATCTCAAAAGCTTCCTTAACTTGTTAGATATAAAATCCATATCCCCGATTGGAACATTTCTCACTTTTACTGCCAGGTGTTATCTTCTTAGGTTTGTGGGTATATAAGCTAGTAACGATTTTCTAAAAAGGGAGATACTCTCCTTTGCATAATATTGTTGTTTCTACTCACTATTAAAAACTAGTTCTAAGTGTGTTCTTTTTCTTTTAGTATAATGAGGCTTTGCCCCAACTAGAGCATTACCTATTTTATTATACAACGTAGATATAATATCATTTATTTGTATGTCGTCCATGCTACGAATGTCAAAGATGAGTGCATTATTATTCTTGGTTGTAATTTCCATCCTTGGTGTATATTTTGAAAAAGTTGCTTGCCCCATCTTAATTGCGTAAAGAAACTGGTCTATTTCCTGGAGTCTTAATTGGTTCGTTTGATTGTGCATCTGTTGCTGCTTCCTCTGATTCTAAACTGTTAATTGCATTTTGTGGCTTAGGATCTATGTCCACCACAACTACCCCAGTATTGCCATCAAAAATTTCACCCACGAAAAAATTCTTTAAGTTCATTTATATTAAGGTTAGTACCCAAATTAGTGTTAGAATTTAGGTAATTATGTACTAAAATCGTGTAAGAAAAACTTTTGTTAGTGCACAAAAAGTAGTTTCTTATGCAAATTCTTGAGAAATAAATGATTTTTGACAAAAAAGACGTTTGTTTTGAATTTTTCTGATCGTGCTATGTTACATTAAATCAGAATCATTAATTGGTCAATAATCACGTGGGGTGAAAATTTGATGGTGATACTGGGGTAGTCCATCTACCACTATAACAATGACCCTAGCGTCGCCCCGAAAAAAGGGTAGCCGGACAGATTTGCTGGGTTACACAACCCTACTTGTGATACAAATAACCCATTGTTAAAATTACTATAACGATAAATACGTTATTGTTCGCTTTTTCTGTCAACTAAAGTTTTTCTAGTACAAAAATTGCGTTGCGCTTTGCAGTGTAAATTGTTAAA